TGTTGCAATTTTGACATGCCTTTGGGCCGGAGTGTTCGGAGTGTTCCGATATCATTTCAAATAATGAAAATATTTATGGAAGCTCAGTGAGAAGATTTAATGACTAAACATGTATATCCCTACAGACCTAATTACCACAGAAACCCAATGTATGTAATAAATGGTCAGTTATGCAGAAGTTGGTAACAAAACTATTTTTAGGAGAGATTTTCTCCCAGAACTACGGAAGCGTATAGGGGTCAATAGCGCGAAATATATCGCGATATTAATAAGGTAATAGGTCAAGAGAGAGAGAGAGAGAGAGAGTTAATTGAATCAATCCGCCATGTTGTGTGTCCTCATTTCGGTTTAAAAGCGGAGAGAGAGAGAGAGAGAGAGAGAGATGGGATTTAACGTCAACTCGACACAAACTAGGTCATTTCGGGACTAACATTTCGTTCAACTTTATTTCAATAATTCCTATGCGCGTAAGGGATTTTAGCAGTGGGAGGAAACCGAAGGACCCGAAGAAAATCCACGAGGTTGGACAGGCGACCCTACTCCATGTCACGTACAACCGGGGAATCGAAACCACAGACAGGCCTTATGATACAACGCACACGCTCTAACCATTCGGCCATCCAACCCCGCTTTTAAAAGCGTACGTGTGCGTTAATATATTGCTATTTTGAAGCATTGTCAACATATTCCATTTCGCCGTAGTATATGTCGGCATAGTGCATGGTCATAAATGGAATATATTGACAAAACTTCAGGGTAGCAATATCTTAACGCAAACCTGTGCATTTAAAACGAAAAGGTGACATAAACATTGTGCGTTGGTAAATTAATTTGGCAAAAATTGTCTTTTGAGGGGTAAAATCAGCTCAACGATCACAATATGTGGACATACTACCTTATTAATATCGCGATATCTTTTGCGCTATTGACCCCTATACGCTTCCATACAGAACCCACCAAACGAGTTTTGTGTAAATATTAGATCTAAATCTTATCGAAAGGAAGGGTATATTGACCTATATTTGCTCGTAATGTAATGTATATGGGGAAATCCTTTAAAATTTGACCTTGAGAAAAAGCTCCTATTAAAATGTAATCACGGATTCACACTTCATGTTTGTGCTATATGAACAAAATATTTACTTGAAGACGATATAACGTGACGAGAAATGGACAAACCAACATATCACAAACAATATTTATCAGAATTTGATGAACTTTTTTCGTTTGATAACCAAAATATGTATAAAAGAGCCACAACCCGATTGGAACTACAATCAGAAGTAATACTTGTTAATCAGATCCGGCTTTTCTTGTTTCTTTCACTTAGAATTCCTAATAGCAATATTTATTGTCCCTCGCCTTTCGAAGAAATGAAATGAAATGAAATGAAATGGAGTTTAACGTCCTACTTTTCTGCTCCTAACCTGGGCTAATGAAGACGGGCATACACCATACAGTGTGCTATGAGGGAAATTTTGCCCGGACAGCGGCACTACGGCCTACTCTTATATCGAATTCCAACTGCCAAGGGATCTTTTATGTGCACGCCAATGTGTACACGGGACCTCGGTTTTTCGTCCCATCCGAACGACTAGACAGCTTTCCTTGTCAGCCCCTCCGTCCTGCATCACTGACAAGGGAGAACCACGCCGGAAAATCTGGATGAACTTTCTCGGCCAATGCAGGGATCGAACACCCGACCTCCAGGCTAGCGAGCTAGCGTCTTACCCACTTAGCGCCTTTCGAAGAAAGCAGGGGACTATTAAAATGGGTCTGCCTGTCTGTCCGTCACACTTTTTGGGGCACAATAACTCTGTTTCTAATTGACCTTGAATGTTCAAACTTGGTATTTATTAGGTGAATGAACGTTTTCTGCTTAGGGTAAGTAGCTATAACCAATTTGATTGGTTAAGACTTTGGAATATATAACAACTCTGCTTTCAATTAAGATAGAATCTTTAAACTTGATGTAGATCTTCATTAGGTGAATGTCTTGACTGAGTTCAATGATTAACATTTCCCACTAAAGCTAAGCAGAGCTAAGCAATTTCATTGGTCGATGCTTTGGGACAAGATAACTTTGATTCTAAGTGATGGAGAGTGATGAAAGAGAGAGAGAGAGAAATGGGGTTTAACGTCCACTCGACACAAACTAGGTCATTTCGGGACTAACATATGGTTTTAATTTTATTTCAATAATTCGCTTGCGCGTGGGGGTCTTTAGCAGTGGGAGGAAACCGGAGGACCCGGAGAAAACCCACGAGGTTGGACAGGCGACCCTACTCCTTGTCACGTACAACCGGGGATTCGAAACCACGCCAGTTGACTCAATGACAGACTTTATGATACAGCGCGCGCACGCTAACCATTCAGCCATCCAACCCCCCGGAGAGTGATGAAACGAAGTGTACAGTTTCACTGCCAGGCTGAGTTTGATCGTGAACATTTTATGCTTAGACTAAGTATAGATAATCAGTTTGATTTCTCAATACTTCTGAAAAAGATAAATGTGCAATTAATCAATATGTGTCATCTATTTTGGGATTTCGGCTAGGGACATCAGCCCCACTGCTGGTTTGTTTATTTTAATTTGCGGTCAAAGAAATGTGGTATTTGGGTTCAAAGTTCAACTTTGTGCACCAGCGGGGTCATGGTGGCTAAGTTTGTAAGACGCTGGCTCGCTAGCTTGGAGGTCGGGTGTTCGATCCCTGCATTGGCCGAGAAAGTTCATCCAGATTTTCCGGCGTGGTTCCCCCTTGTCAGTGATGCAGGACGGAGGACCTGAAAAGGACAGCTGTCTAGTCGTTCGGATGGTACGGAAAACCGAGGTCCCGTGTACACACTGTCGTGCACGTAAAAGATCCCTTGACAGTTGGAATTCGATTTAAGAGTAGGCCGTAGTGCCGCTGTCCGGGCAAAATTTCCCTCATAGTACACTGTTCGGAGCAGAACAGTAGGACGTTAAACCCCATTTCATTTCATTTCATTTTCTGCACCAGCCGGACAAATGAAGACGGAAGAAATATCCAAGTGCTGTATCATAAATATTGACTGCAATAATACAGGAGTATATTAACACCATACATTACAGTGTGTGTCTGAATAGTGCAACCATAACAGTCTATGAATAAAGGAAAATTAATACTGTAGTTCATTACGTGTATTGTGTATGTAAGGCACTACAGATGGTTGATTATATAACTCCCACTACGGCCTTATAATTTCTGAATGCTAATTATTTTCATTGTTGCGGTCATATCTTAAAGCGACAGCCGACCATTGACTATATTAATTAAAATGAAATAAACCCACTCTAGAGACGCTAGATAACACAATATACCAACATTGTATTCTTAATACCAGAGTCCATTTCAAAGGATATTTTCCTCTCTAACATGAAATAATACAGCCAAAATATAACATCAAGATGGTTAAGATAACTAAGCGAAGAGAGAGAGAGAGAAAGAGAGAGAGAGAGAGAGGGGGGGGGGGGGGGTCATGCAGTCCTACAATGTACTATAAATGTCAAGATATTTTTTTATGTTTTATCACAAGAAAAAAAAAACAAAAAAAAACCCCAAAACAACGTAAACAGTAGCAGGCAATGGTTTGTATGATAATATTAATGGCAGTTAAATTTAGTTTGTCACTGTTTCTATTGAATTATTAATCCATTTCGTGGAGTAGAATTTGTGATTACACCTTGAATGTCTCATTAGAATAATGCCTTTTCACTCACCATTTTACGTCTCCAAATGATATATATAGAAATGCAATGAAATGGCCTTTAACGTTGGCTACTGAAACTGTGCATATTCTACACAGTGTGCTACGAGAGAGAGAAATTTTGCCCCTAGTCTTATTTCGAAATCCAATTGCCAAAGGTTATTTTACGTGTACGCCAATGTGTACACGGGACATCGTTTTTGTCGTTCGATCCGAACGACTAGACACTGTTCCTTGTTAGACCCTTCGATCCACACTACTGACAAGGGGAAAGCACGCTTGAAAATCCGGAAGAATTTTCTCGGCCAGCGTCCCAATCACTGGCCAACCTCGGCTCCATATAGGCAAATTCGAGAAATATTTAGAAAAATAACTGCACATTTAATGTTATAATACCAAACGCTGGTGCTTTAGCCATACTAGTTTTTAAAACTGTAGATTGTTATGGGTGCAGATATAACGTCCTACTTTACTGCACCAACCGGACTAATAAAGACAGACATCATACAGATTGCTGCAAGGACCATTGTGCCCGGACAGTGACTTTCTGACCTTCTCTTCTTCGTGTTCCAACTACCAAGTGTTCTTTTATATGTACAAAGATTAAACTTTATTTGTTTTATAACAACATGTGAATACCTTGAGACGGACACCTAGTTATTTTGATTTTTATACCAAGACGATGCATCATGTACAAGAAGTAGCGTTTTTGAATCGCCGTGAATCTTTTAAGTGTGTTTCAGTATTTACCAAATTTAATTTTTTTGTTCTACTCGAGCAACTAGATACATTAGAACTGACAAGTGTCAAGTTATTTGTCATGTACCATGCACACAATGCCTTCGGCTACGTTTATTACGAAACGCATTGAATCAGATACTACATATTTATCCTACACACTGACAGTTCTGATCCCGAAGTGAATATAAGTAAACAATTCAATAAATAAAGAGTTTGGGAAATGTAGTGGGGGACCTGCTATTTAAGATCGTTTTTTTAATTCTAGAAACATTGACCGCGTTAGTTGCTTTAACGCGAATGCCGGAATTGTAGCTTGAATCGCTTTGACCTTTAGGTGTGGCCACTCCACTCACTTAATTCAATGGAAAAACTATTGTTAGAAGTCATCATAAATATCCACGCACTATGTACCATTCATCGAGACTTCCAGCAATTCTATGCTAATGAGAGATAATCGATTCCCATTGGACAAGAACTTCAATCGTCATATTGATCGGCAGCAAAAATTTCACGTGCCGTCATAGCAACGCATTCTGCGAAGCGTTCCACCAGTTTTAAAGAAATATATTGAATTGAGTCTGTTCTAATCATTGGATAGCAATATCGCGGACAGTTTAAGTGAATTCTAGTTGAATCTCTCACAATTTGCTATTCTATTGGAAATTTCTGTTGCGTTTGAAACACGAATTTGTTTTTGGTGCCATTGTTTTAAAGTTGCTGGAGTTTTGTTTTAATTAACGCAAAATGTACAAGAATAAAGGAAACACTAAGGGCTCGGAGAGCGGCAAGAGATACGGTGGAGATGATAAACGCAGGGGTGAAAGGTCAGACCGACTTTCAGACAGACAAGTCGAAGGTAAGAATTACATTTAGATTGAAAATATGCATATGCATTCCTGGTAATTAATTTGTCTCTAAAAGTTGTCGGCAAACACAAAATACTAAAATCAGCGAACAGCTAAACACGCATAGGTTAGCTTTCTGGTGGCTTAACAGTGTTGGGTAGCAGCAAAACATAACACAGATAGATCAAACTGTATAATAATACAGCATAGATGATTAGATACGTAGATAAAAAAAATATAAAGGGAATATTAAATGATCATGGGAAACATTTGCTTATTCTTAGAGTGTACTAAACTAACTTATTGTGCTCCATCACATCTGAAAAAAAATTATTTTCATTGTTGCGGTCATATCTTAAAGCGACAGTCAACCATTGACTATATTAAATAAAATGAAATAAACCCACTCTAGAGACGCTAGATAACACAATATACCAACATTGTATTCTTAATACCAGAGTCCATTTCAAAGGATATTTTCCTCTCTAACATGAAATAATACAGCCAAAATATAACATCAAGATGGTTAAGATAACTAAGCGAAGACAGAGAGAGAGAGAGAGAGAGAGAGGGGGATGGGTCATGCAGTCCTACAATGTACTATAAATGTCAAGATATTTTTTATGTTTTATCACAAGAAAAAAAAAACACACAAAAAACCCCCAAAACTACGTAAACAGTAGCAGGCAATGGTTTGTATGATAATATTAATGGCAGTTAAATTTAGTTTGTCACTGTTTCTATTGAATCATTAATCCATTTCGTGGAGCAGAAGCTGTGATTACACCGTGAATGTCTCATTAGAATAATGCCTTTTCACTCACCATTTTACGTCTCCAAATGGTATATATAGAAATGCAATGAAGTGGCCTTTAACGTTGGCTACTGAAACTGTGCATATTCTACACAGTGTGCTACGAGAGAGATAAATTTTGCCCCTACAGCGCCACAAGGGCCTAGTCTTATTTCGAAATCCAATTGCCAAAGGTTATTTTACGTGTACGCCAATGTGTACACGGGACATCGTTTTTGTCGTTCGATCCGAACAGCTAAACGCGCATAGGTTAGCTTTCTGGTGGCTTAACAGTGTTGGATAGCTGCAAAACATAACACAGATAGATCAAACTGTATAATAATACAGCATAGATGATTAGATACGTAGATAAAAAAAATATAAAGGGAATATTAAATGATCATGGGAAACATTTGCTTATTCTTAGAGTGTACTAAACTAACTTATTGTGCTCCATCACATCTGAAAAAAAATTATTTTCATTGTTGCGGTCATATCTTAAAGCGACAGCCGACCATTGACTATATTAAATAAAATTGACATCTGAAAAAAAAGCTATCGATGATGAAATGGTTACTTTATTTTTATGACAATTTCTGCTATGTTTTTTATCTCTTTCATTCTGATCAAAATTGTAATAGAGAAATAAAAACCAAGACAACGATTCCAAATCTTTGATTTTGTTCAGTGCACAAAATGAATAGGTGGTCATAAATGCTGATTCGTGTTCGTTTTATATATTTTTAACATGGAGGTCATCACGAAATTCTTGCAAAATTTACCTAAATATGATCACATTTTAATGGTAATATAGCTCGTGTCGTAAAAGGAATGTTTATTATAGCTCGCTTGTCTGTTAATTACAGTAATAAGTGTACATATTTATTTATTGTGCGTGTTGTATTCTCTTTGTTGTGGTTGCATGTTTTAGAAACACGCAAAAGTTTGTTGGTTCTGTAAAGCCATGGTGTCATTTCAGAATTTGCCTAGCGATGGGCAAACATTGGTGTCTAACTCGTAATGTAAACGAGATGACTTGACGTGCAGACAAATTATCTTGCGAATTTGATGTAATTTAGACCAAGATAACTTTCCATATACTGAAAGCGTGGTAGGAAAATAATGGAATGCGGTTGAACTTCTTGTCAACAGTGTTAAGCTCAGTTTGATCATTATCATATTATCTTTGTTGTGTGTCCTTAATGAAAAATAATAAAAAAGATTTAACTTAAATTTTGACATTGGTTATTTTTGTGGATAACGACAATTCGGTTAAAACGACAATTCCGTTCAAACAATGTACTTTACCATACAGACCTATAATTTGTAGAATCATATCGACTGAGTGTGGATTATAATTATCTTTACTTTACTAAATCGATCGAAAGAAATAGTTCTACTTAAGTTTGAATTGCTACTCTCTGGTAGTAGTTGAGTCTTAGGAAACAAGATTATACGAGAGAGAGAGGGTGAAATGGACCATGACGACGAGCTTATTCCATAAAATGTGTAATCAGGGAAAATTTGCCCTGGCAGTGACGTTTCCGCATAGGCCTGCTATTCGTCGAAATACAACTGACAAGTTTTCGTTTACGTGCAAACTGTTCTTTGTCAGACTCTCCAGCTTGTACCATTTACACGGGGTGAACTACGAAGGGAATATGTGTCCGCCTTCAAGCAATAACTGTCCCCGGAGCTTTGCGCAGACGTGTATAGTTAAATATTTAACAATATGATATAGTAATTCCAGTACCAAATTGATAAGTAAAATAGCACAAAGTTTAGAGTCGCCGTAAGTACATATTCTGATTTACAACTGAATCACTATTGTTTTACAACTCGATCCGCCAATCTTATCTTACACACTTATACAGACGTCTATTGAATCTGGCGACTTAGACCTAAATACCTCCGTAAAACTATTCACTGACAAATAGTACTTCATATCACTTATATCACTACGCATATGGAGAGAAGTTGTTTCCCCTCTAATTCGGTTTCCTCAACCGCGTTGAAATATTTTTATTTCATTGACTCGACAACACTAAACACGACTTGGTTCTAGTTTATACAATTCTTTTTTATTGATCATGTATTTTATTGACTTCATATTACAGTTATGTACACATTACGCGTGTTTTGACATTAGGGTAGTGATCACATTAAGTTACGTTTGAATTTCCATCAAATGGGAGAGAGAGAGAGAGAGAGAGAGAAATGGGGTTTAACGTCCACTCGACACAAACTAGGTCATTTCAGGACTGACATATGGTTTAATTTTATTTCAATAATTCGCTTGCGCGTAGGGGTCTTTAGAAGTGGGAGGAAATCAGAGGACCCGGGGAAAACCCACGAGGTTGGACAGGCGACCCTACTCCTTGTCACGTACAACTGGGGATTCGACCATCAAATGGCAAAATGCCATTCGATTCACACGTAAGCTTCATGGCAATATGAGCGATTGAAATGGTATGGGCAATCCTTGGAAATGGGCTCGAGAGCACTAAAGTGTAAAATTTGTCTTCGATTTCAAGATTTGTGGAATATACTTTGCACTGTTATCACATATTATTATCTACACTAGAATTATTACAAAGTATGGATAAAACAGTTCGGGTAAATATATGCAAACACAGCTTTAATAGAATATAAATAAGGCATGCGTCTAAGGACAAACATACGTATAGCTAATAAATACGGTGGCCTATTCGTGCCTTAATGTTCTTTTCTAGTAATTTACTCTAGATTCACTCAGCAATACAACGAACGAGTGTTTCGCAGTGAATACTAGGGTAATTCGAAAAACCGCGGTGGAAACCTATTCTTCGCGTTTCTCCACGGTGAAAGCCTTTTCGAGATGGTTTACATTGCGGGGAAAGGGTTTTTCATTTTTTTTTTTAATATACCTTAGGTTTCATTATATAGTAAACCTTTCTCATATGAAGTAATTTACTAGAAAAGGTTATATCTCATATGAAGTAATTTACTAGAAAAGGTTATAAATTAACGACTGGCACAAATAAGCCACCCTAAATAAATGTCTTCTACTTTCGGACGAAACCCTGGTTTTCAGCGAAGTTCCGATCCAAAACGAACTATAAAAAAAAAGAGAAGAGAAGGCACCACGGGGTAGAAAGTAACATTAGTCCATTGACACGATAGAACTAAATAAACCAGAGTTCTAAATTACAAGTTTATACCCAGTCAGCTAATTTGTTATTTTGCTGTATTCATCTAGATTTCATTAACTTAATTGAAGCAAACAGGACAATTATAGAAGATAATTCGACATAATTATACCTTTGTTATTAAATACAACAGCGCAACAGAGATACTATTAGCTGCGACATTATATGTAAACATGATCAATTAAATGGTCATTATTTAGCGTCATTATAAATGTCTCATTACAGAGATACGGTTGCGTTCAAAGTACAAATAAAACATGGACGTAATTGAATAGTTTCTCACCCACTCTGCGCTAACAATTATAGCTATTCATTTACTCTCGTGTTCATCTTTAGTTCCATTATAGTTTATAACATAGTTTTAAAAAAGAAAGACGTGTCATATCAAATCCAGGTTAGCAATATTCAGCGATAGCATACAACACAAATGTAGTAAGATTGGTAGAATTGTTGCTCTTTAAATGTAGCCTTATATTATTAACTATGGCTTTGATTTTAATTATTGGTTTTATATTATATAGAAGTCATACCTCACGCACTCAAATTGAATGGGTGATAGGTTTATATATCAGCCTAAATTTGGTAAACATTTGTTTCTGGGTTGAAAACAAGGTAACGTGCTTGACGCCATTAGACTTAGTAAACAATCACCACAATTAATTAAGTAATATCTGTCCAATTAAAAAAATGACAGAGCTGTTGCAAGGATTCTATCAATGTTATAAGACTGATTTAGGTCCTATAGACTTTAGACCGCCGCTAAATTCTTAGGGAGCAGAGTCATGTAGATTCGTTGGAGAGACCGCGGAGGTTCAAGAGACACCATCTGGTTTCAGCAGACCCCATTGATTTGTAGGAGAGTCATATAATGTAGTGTGTGCCGTCTGTAAAATCGAGTTAGGGGATGGAGAGAACGACATGTTAATTTTAAGTATTGTAATATAACCTATGCTTGTAACCTATGTATCCAGTGCTTGATATAACATGTAGGAACGAACTGTTGCATTGTTGTTCATGGTAGACAAACGTC